AATGAAGTTCACAGTACTCATAAAGATTAGTTTTTTTTAACTCAAATGATTTGTTGCAATCTGTTTCCTCAAACGGTTTGAGTTGCCTTAACTTATTGGGTTTTACAGTACTCAGTTGGTTTGAGTTCTCTTCATTTATTGGGTTTTACTGTGCTCAAATTGCTACAATTACTCAAATGTATTAAGTTCAAAATGCTCATTAGAATTAGTTTTTGAAACTAAATGGTTTGTTGCAATCGGTTTCCTCAAACGGTTTGAGTTACCTTAACTTTTTGGGTTTTACAGTGTAGTACTTTACACTTCTGTGTTTCCTCTAGTTTATTGTTTGCACAGTTGCCTTTCTAAGCATGGGCATATTTGCATGAACTTAATGCTAACGCTTTTTTATTATTTTATTTTATTTTATTTCTTTCTGCCTGTATTGGCAATAACATTTAATTTACCATTTATTTGATACTTAGCAATGGTTCTGTGAGATACTTGAACTCTTTTATATACATTTCACGTTTCAAAATGGCATTTTCAGTATAATTACTCCAGTCTTTGGTGTTACATATCAATGTTGAAGACAATAATTTTTTGTGGAAACCTTAATGGTGTTTTTTCATGATTTTATTAGATGAACAGAATGTTTAAACTTTAGTTTATTTGTAGAAATATGTAACATATGAAGAAGCCCAACTGCTAATTGATGCTAATTCATTTAAATTATCATTGTGTTACTGTTTATAGACGCAACTTCACTATAATAACTTTTAAAAAAGCAGTTCATTATGTAGTCCTAGAGCCAATTAATCAAGGAATCAGATAATAGCTAATAATATTTTGTTAATGTGTGTTGATCTGTAGTCTTATTTTAGTTTTATTGCCCTTTGTTTTGCAATATTTGTTCTCATAAAGAGTGGAAGGCTCTTGGGTCTTCTCAATGATTTCATCAAGAAAAGACTCAATAACATTGATCTTGCATTGAAGATTATGGGGATGTATGTATTGGCTTTAGTTTTATTGGAAAACAGCTCTTGTAGGCATCCATAGAGGTTAGGGTTGTGCGATACAGAAGAATAATGCAGTATGTGATAGCATGCTAAATAATGCAATATTAATTAATCGATTAATTTAACTTAATACAAATTTAAGTGGATTGAACATAAAACAATTAAGTTGTTCCAAAAAAATATTTTTTTGAGTGAATGTTTCATTTTTTTATGGAAAATGAAGCATCACTACCACATTTGAAAGTGAGCAGTCATGTTTTACTGTTCCAAACAAATCAGACATTTTAACCATTGTATTCATCATTCATTTCCTTCGGCTGAGTCTCCTTATTCATAATCGGTCGCCACAGCGGAACGAACCTTATCCAGCATATGTTTTAGAAAGTGGATGCCCTTCCAGCTGCAACCCAGTATTGGAAAACATCCATATTCTCTCACATGCACACACATAAACTACGGCCAATTTAGTTTATTCAATTCATCTATAGCGCATGTCTTTGGGCTGTGGGGGAAACCAGAGCACCCGAAGGAAACCCACACGATCACAGGGAGAACATGCAAACTCCACACAGTGGGAGCGGACCCAGTGGGGCTCGAACAAGCAACCTTCTTGCTGTGAGGCGACAGTGTTAACCACTGAGCCACCGTGTTTTAACCATGGTAACAAACAAAAATAAATCAAATATATCTCACCCTATTTTGATAATATAGGCTACTGCACAGCCCAAATAGCAGTTCTTACTATTTGAGATGTTCATTAATGGTTGTGTGATAGAATCCATTTCCCCTAGGAACAGCAGAATCACAGTATATTTTCTTTCAATCAGCCTTTTTTAATGAAGGGTTCTTGAACAGGTCTTTGTCGCTTCCCCTCTGTGTCTCATCACTGCATCCGATCTGATTGATGAATACTAATTTTCAGCCTTTGCACTTCAAAGTAACCGGATATGCTTATTCTGAGTATTAAAGTAGACCTTTCTGAAATGCATTCCCAGCTACCTGCTTTACCCAGTGAAACAGATGCAACCCGATGGTTATTTATTAAAGTGGTAGTGGTTTAGCCACATCTTTCGGCTGGTTTGAACTGAATGATTTACGTCTGATTGTAATGCAGCTGCAGTGAGCAGTTCAGCACCCAGAAAACCTCTCGACACCAGAGGGGATGAAATATAGATGAATGCATTTCACAATATATTGCTTATGAAATGTGTTAGATTGATACATAGACAGATGGATGGATTGATACATAGACAGATAGAGGGATGGATGGATGAATAGATGGATGGATGGATGGATGGATGGATAGATAGATAGATAGATAGATAGATAGATAGATAGATAGATAGATAGATAGATAGATAGATAGATAGATGGATAGATGGATGGATGGATGGATGGATGGATGGATGGATGGATGGATAGATAGATAGATTGATAGATTGATAGATAAATAGATAGATGATAGATGGATAGATAGATAGATAGATAGATAGATAGATAGATAGATAGATAGATAGATAGATAGATAGATAGATAGATAGATAGATAGATAGATAGATAGATGGATGGATGGATGGATGGATGGATGTAGCCTTGGTTTTATGGATTGAGGGAATGTGCTGGAACATGGTCTGTTTTTTAGCCAGTTTTTACACATTTCATCCTTTCCAGTTTCCACGGCAACTACTGGAGCTGAGTTTGGAGTAAAAATAAGACCCTGTAAGTCTATCAAATAAATAAAGCTTGCAAATATGGCATCTCTGACAATAATAGTCACTCTTGATCTTGTTATTTTGTTGTGCACGATGATGAATTAGCTCACGTGTGCCTTGTATTATTGATAATTATGCTGTTTATTACTTCATGTGTTTGCCCTGGAACTTCTTTAATAATAAATGCGCCCCTGGCCTGCATCTTAGATCTATATTAGATCTGACAGTTAAAAAGAGAGAGAAGAAAGCTGAGAGTTGTCTTCGTTCAGCCTCTGTTGGCCTTCTTTGCAGCTGCATTTTAGAATCTGTTCATACTTTCTAGGTTTAGTTTAATTAAAATTTGGCGTTTCTGTGTGGAGTTTGCATGTTCTCCCCGTGTTCTTGTGGGTTTCTTCTGTGTGCTCCGGTTTTCACCACCCTGTCCAAAGACATGTGCTATAAATCAGGCTGAAATAGTTCACGGTTCATTCCACCGTGGCGACCTCTGATAAATAAGGCACTAACCTGAAGGAAAATGAATGAATGAATGAATGAATGAATGAATGAATGAATGAATGAATGAATGAATGAATGAATGGTTAATCTGACCACATACAAAACCTTGTGTGCACTAAATAATACAACTGTATCGTAATAGTGACACTGAAAAATAGAGTAAGGATCCTTATGCAGGTCTTTATTGAACAGGATGGTCAAGCAAGCATACAGGAACAAACAGATGTGTATGGGCAATCCAGAGTCATAGTCAAAATAGCAGGCAAGTGGTTAGAAGGCATACAGCATACAGAAATAATCAAACAAAACAAAGCAAGGTATAACACGGAAATCAAAGCAAGGGGAACCACATAATAATGTTAGCTTTACATGATTCGAGACTCAGCAACAGTGTGTATCTGTGCTGTTTTATTTACCTTATTCTATAATGCGGAAGTGCGCCTGTTTGCACAATTGTTTTAGAACTTCCGATTCAGTCGCCTATAAGAGAAATGACCAGGAATAATAAACGGCAGAAAATGGTCAAACTACTTGCTCTAAAAACAAATGTTTGCATGACTATATAGACCAAGTAGAATAATATAATAAGGAAATATCAGTTTGCAACATCAAACAGCGAAACGAGCCACTTTTAATGTCTAAATATTAATGGAAGTGAATGAAACCGGAAGTCTCAAGCCAAAAAGATTTAAATGGCTGCGCCTGCTCGTCGACGAAGAATAAGGTGAATAGTCCATAAATAAGTCAGTGAGCAGCTTTAGCTGTGAGTGTCTAATCAGTGGAGACTTGGAGCAGGTGTGTGTGTGTTGCATGACTGAATATGTAGTCCATAAAATAGCGAATTTGTAGTTTGTGTGAATGTGATGGTTTACCTATGGTGGTTCGACCGCTGGTGATCATGACACCAACCAAGACCCCTGAACTAACAAGTGTCAGTCTGCTTGTAAACAAACTCTGGTGCAATTTGACTAAAATATGAATGCAAGTGCAACACACGGCGAAGACATATTATTGAACCAAATGCAGGACATGATGTCACAAGATGTGACTGTAAAAAAGACAGAATGCTCAAATCAACCAGTAGACTTTAATCAAAGCATTAGAAAAGTGTGTCCTTCCAGTACATTTTTGTGTGTGATGAGTTGCTGATGATTTTCTGAGTTTATCTTGAGTTTTTATAAATAATAAAAAGACATCAAATCATGAGATTCAGTAGTAAAAATAAACTAGCAACTAACTAAATAACTTCAGCATGGTGAAGATTTCAAAACCGCAAGATGAAAACAACAAAACAAAAATTAAAAAGCCCCAAATTATCAAATTTCTCATGCTATTTGTGTATATTATGAATTGTGTTTTGAATTGACAAAGATTTGTGTATTTATGAATTGTGTTTGTAATGTACGAAATGGATTTTGTTAATGTGAATTGTTGCGAATGTATGAATTATATTTTGTAAATGTAATATTTTTGAGACTGATCTGGCTGCATAGAAAGTTAAACAAATCTATTAAAATGAAAAAAAATTCTATTATATTAATCACATATTTTTCTTTGTAAATCACATTTTAAATCATGAGCAGTTACAGCTTCTTAAAACACACTTACATATTTATGAGTTTAAACCTAAATTAATAAGTTTTCTTTAAAAAAAAAACTATAAACAAATTTTAAAGGTACTCATATATCATTGGGAGAGCACTATGGTTTTCTAGGAACACAAATGATCTGAATGTCATATTTGAAGTTTTGTGACGTTTAGCTAGTTTAGGTGTCTGATGCTTTGCCTGTCCTGCAGATGGCGCTCCTCTGAGTGATCTGTCCTGGTCGTCCTCTCTTGCTGTGGTGGCTGTGTCTTTCTCTGGACTCTTTACCTTCATCTTCCTCATGCTGGCTTGTCTGTGCTGTAAAAGAGGCAACATTGGCTTTAAGGTGAGACCGTCTTTCTCTTCAACCTACTTTTAAAACAATATCTCTTAAAATATAACAGACTGACATGATTTTTATGGCCCAATCACTGAAAAAAGCTAGCAAAAAGTCTCTGAAACAACACAATGTGAGTCTCAGGCCCTTCATATAGATTTAATTATTTCAAATGCAGTTTTAAAGATTGTAAAATATTTTTATGTGATACACACACACACACACACACACACACACACACACACACACACACACACACACACAACACACACACATAAACAAATGCAGGTAACACTTTACAATAACAGTACATGAATAATGATGTATTAATATGTAAACTAAACATTACTTTATTATGAATTAATGATGAGTTAAGGTATGCACTAATCATGAATTAACTTTAACTACAACATGAGTCACATGAGTTCATGTGTAAATAACGACTACTTTAATTACTTGTTAGTACATGTTGTTAATTAATGTATTAATTAACATTTAAGTTTAGGCTAAATGTAACCAACATGAACTCATGAGCTGTTAATGTATAGTTATGTCATGACTTTACTTGGAGGGGCACATCACTATTAACTCATCCTTAACTACTTATGAACTCCTTTTCATGTTGATGTTGACAGAACACTTTTCTATTGTTATTCAGTGTAAACTCACTAGTTGGACGTGCATGAGGAGTTCATGAGTAGTTAAGAATCGGTTAATGATGATGTGCCCCTCCAAGTAAAGTCACAACATAATTATACATTAACATATCGTGAGTTCATCATGGTTAAATTAAGCATAAACTAATGTGGTAATTAATACATTAATTAACAAACAATCATGAACTAACAAGTAATTAAGGTAGCCATTATTCACACATGAACTCATGTGAATCTTGTTGTAGTTAAAGTTAATTCATGATTAGTGCATACCTTAACTCATCATTAATTCATAATAAAGTAATGTTTAGTTTACATATTAATACATCATTATTCATGTACTGTTATTGTAAAGTGTTACCCAAATGCAATTACAGAAAAGATTTCAAGTCAAAAGTCCAAATTTAAACCCCTAGAAGACAAAGTATTCAATGTGTAAATATAAAAAGCTTCCCTCTGGAGTAAAAGTCTATCTATGTCACTGCCCCTTCTCAGTATTTTAACTTGTTCAATGTCTTGATAGCATAATAACGACAAAGTATGTTTCAATTCAGTAAAGTGAACAGCAATGAGATTGCGTTGGTTATTTAGTCTAATATTATTTCTATGTACAGCAATACACATTTTTTACACCACTTTGATTTACTAATGTAAGCTAAACCGCAAGAACATTTGATCAAATATATCACATTTTTTGTATTGCAACAATGAATGTCTTTGATCTTAAACTGCTTACCTCAATGTGGATGACTAAAGAACTGACATTTAGTTGTGATGTTACACAGTGCGCATTGGCCACATCTCTAATTTCCATCAGGAACTGCAAAAGGATGATTAGAAAATTCAGACCCTTGATCCGCTCTCACTAACATTTATTGCAAGTTTGAGGCTTGTATAAAAACAATTTGTGGTGGATCTTTACAATAATGTCTCCTAACAGCATCTGAGTTTAAAATATGACAATGTTTTTGTACTATATTGGCAACGTCATTACTTAGAGCCGAATACTGTATACAGTAATACAGGAGATCCTTGTATTTACTGGTTTAGGTCATTTTTGGACCAAGGATTTTTCTCAGTGTTTTTAAAACGATCCGCAGCTGCTTTAATCCATTTTTTGGCATAACCTCTCTCATTAAACTGCTGACAGTTTCTTACACTCTCAGAAAAAATAGTACAATGCTGTACCAAAGAAGGTACAAAGCCTTGTCACTGGGGCAGTACCTTTTTATGGGACAGAATTGTACCTTAAGACAAAGAAACAAGTTTGTACCATTGCAGTTTGTATCTTTAAGGCCATGATTTGTACCATAGGAAACCAAAATGTACCTTCGTTTTTTAAAACCTGCAGATATAATATTGTAGCTTCATCAACGGTACAAATCTGATTGATGAAGGTACCACTAAAGTGAAAATACATTTTGAACCTTAACGGTGTCAAATGTGTTCCTTCAAGAACTATTTAAAAGCATTTTGCTATATCTAAAATGAGTTCATTTATTTTCAGTAAAAATAAAACATCAAATATTTTCTAAACAATGTTTTTTTTTTAAGTTTCTTTGTGTGTAAATGCACCTTTTCCATTTACAATAAAGAATAAAAAACACTTTAACATCAATTAAAAGATCTATTTTTTGCTAAACATTTCACAACTCTTTTCACAATATTGTTATAAAAACACAGAAATACATTCTCTTATGTACAATATGGAAACTTTTTTCTCCACTGTTCACACAATACCTTAGTAATCACTTAAAAGTTCATTTAATGTACTTAATTTTGAAATAGAAATAGAATTCTGCAAAAGTATTGTAATGAGATATGCACAATGTTTGATTAGCTTTACAATACTAAAATATCTACATTAACACTTTGCATATGCAGGACTTTTGCCAACTCACGTGCGTAGTGGAAAGTAAACGCCAAAACGTGCAGATATCAATAATGAAAATGTATCAATCAGAAAATTCTTACAAATGTTTATTAAAAATGCCTTAAATGTTTAGTTTACAATACCTGTAGTTTTGTTTTACCAGTTGTTTTGTATCATAGAATTTAATAATTAATGTTTATAAGTTTCTTTAAACATGCATTTAAAGAATGATTCATGTTTTATGGTGGAAATTATTCAGAAAATCACTTTGCCTTTCCTGCAATATTTATTTTCATATATATTGCAATAAAGGAGTTGTCCAACACTTATGTACCTTTTTTATGAGAACAATTGTGTAGCTTCGTTTCAATTGTACCAATAAAAGGTACAGAACAGTATCGTAAGAGATCTTTTCTGTACCATAAGGTACAACTTTTACAAAGGTACAAAACTCTTCCTAAAGGAACATTATTTGTACCACCGTGTACTTTTTTTCTGAAAGTGTATATTGTTTATTGTATGTTTCAGGAGAAGTACAAATCCTATGGATTCTCTTAAACTGACTAATAGGCAAACTTTTCTTTAAATTGTTGGATTGAAAACTTTGACCATGAGAACTTATATTTTTAATGGTGGGCTTTCTGTACACTGTCTCCAAATTATTGTCATCTTTTATTATAAGTTAGTCTAGAAAACTCACTTGTGAAGAAGGTTACTCAATAGTAAATTTAAGATGATCGCTATTATGGTTTAAAACACACACCATTTAGAATTCTACAAATAGATTACGTTAAGGTGTGAACAATGATAAAATTAGAGCATAGTACTCTTACTTGTAAACAAAAGATTCATATTAAAAAGAAATATAACAAGAAACAACAGTGTTACAACAAAGTGTACTATTTATTTTAACCTATTTTTGTAACTGTGAAGCTTATGGCATTTTTTGTATTTTATATAATGCACTAGTATCCTCATATTGCTGTTTATGAAAGCAGAATTCACATTAATAATGTGACAAGACCTGGAGGCAAAGATTTGTGATACTTAAGAAACACTAATAAAAAGGCATGAAATATTGATTTGCACAGAGTGAAATGAGATTAAACAAGAAATCAGATTTAAATGCCATGAAACCTCACTTATATAATTTAGCAGTTATTTAAATAAAAAAGGGGGTGGCACAGTGGCTAGCACTGTGGCCTCACTGCAAGAAGGTTGCTGGTTCGAGTCTCGGCTAAGTCAATTGGCATTTCTGTGTGGAGTTTGCGAGTTCTCCTCATGTGTTGGTGTGGGTTTCCTCCGGTTGCTCCGGTTTCCCCCACAGTCAAACACATGCGCTATAGGTAAATTGAATAAACTAAATTGTCCGTAGTGTTTGTGTGTTCTCAAGTAGAATTGCCAATGACCAATCACAGTGTTAACACTAATATAAATCTCAAATTTAATCTGTTCAGATTTTAGCACTATTTGTCACTGAAAGCTTTTTAACAGGAAAATTTTAATCAAACTTGCCAGTCCGTTCTGCAATATATTAACATAAAGCATCTCTCCATTGCAACTTCTTGGCCTGTTGCCGTCCTGCAGTTATGAATGAAGTCAGTAAGTAAGCAGCGTTCATGAGTCACTTCTGAGTCTGTTTCAGATCCTCAGGAATGCTTTGATCAACTGCTTGAAGAGTAGCACAACACATGCATTCTGTTCAGCTGCATGTCCTCGCGGCCTTTCGAGGTTACAGAGTCCAAGAGTTTCACAGAAAAGCAATTTCTGCAGTGCAAACCACTTAGTCCTGTCTCATAAGGTTAAAGGAACCGAGGCAGAGCGAGCGCAGGGACACAATAGCTTCCCAATAGACGTGTTTTTGTGGTGAGCAGAAGCCTTCAAACAGCGTATGGCCATAGATCTCACTGTGCATTTTTCAGCAGCACCTTTAAAGTGGGTCAAGGCACTGGAGAAATGAGACCCGTGTGAGAGAGAAGGAAAGCGCTTTCATGCTTCTGAGCACCTGGTCTGCAGTAAAGGCCAAATATTTGTAATTACGATCCCTCGGTGGAACCACAGCAGTTTAACATCAACTGCTAAAGCTGCTCTGCGCGTCTGTCATCCAGTGCATTTTATCTCTATTTAACACTTTTTTGTTTTGTTTTTGTACACAAGTTGGGAGACTGACAGGCCTGGGGGTAATTGATTTGTTCCCCTTTAGCATTCTCGAGGCTTCAGACACACACTTATACAATCCCTGAGCACTGCAAAAAAGTGTCTGTGTGTTATTTTGAGCTGAGTGTAAAATGTGGAGCTTACATAAAGTGCAGAAAGTGTGTTTTATTGTAATATGTTGGTCAATGATCAACACTTATTGAGTGTTGGAGTTACTAACTTAAACAAAAACCAACATAGTGTCATTTTTAAAAAGTAGCCCTATATACATTTCTCATGAATTATGTAGCCAGACGTATGTATGGCTGCATTTCGTATTTAAA